AAGAATGATGAAGTCAACATATGTACTAAAGTGCTGGACACAGATGACGTATGTATACATTGTGATGAGTTGTATGAACCCGTAATAAAATGATTATTTTAAAAAAAACTTCCATTCCATGTCAACTATCTGGAATTAAAATGCTTCTGATTCTAAAAAAAAAAAATCCCCTCTTTCCATTTGATGATGATTCCATAAATAAATGAACTGGAAAACATAAAATAATGGGAAAAAACAATAAGATAAGAAGTTGGTTTTATGAAAGGATTAAGAAAATTGACAAATCATTGGCAAATTGAACAAAGGAAAAGAAAGGGAATATGCAAACATCTAGATTTAGAGATGAAAATGGTGATATCACACACATCCAGATGAAATAAAAAGGATAACAAGACAGTACTATAAAAGAATTTACTACCACATCTGATAATCTAGAAGAAATGGTTAAGTACTTAGAAACATACCAACTACTATCTCTAATCTATCTAATTACCTATCTCCCTCAAGTTGAGGCTGACATACGAAGTGACTTATAAATGTATTTACTAACTGCTCAGAAAACTGAAAGAGTATCTATTGAATGTGTTTCAAAGTTTGCTGTTTGCAATGCACAACAAAATAAAACAAAACCCTGAACCTATTTCTCTCAAGTTGATTCTGACTCATGGCTGTTCCATATGACAGAAGAGAACTGGGACCAATAGGGTTTCATTGACTCAAATCTTCACAGAAGCAGATTCCCCACCTTTTGTGGTGCTGCTGGCGGGTTCAGACAGCCAAACGTTCTGTTAGTAGTTGAGAACAAACCACCTAGGGACCTCTGTGCACAGAAATGGCACGGCATAATCTGGTGATCTAGAATTTTGATGATTTGCATACACAATTGAAAGCAGGTTTACTCATTTGTGGGATTTTTTTTTTTTTTACCTCAGCACGAAAAAAGTATTCTATTTGACTTAGATCAACAGGAAAGTTTCTCATATTGTTTTGACCTCCCTGTGTGTATCCATTATGTTAACATTTCAAAATAAAATTTGAGGCATTTAAAGCAATGTTGAAGAGCCTTCATGATGCAAAAATGAAGCCCTTGATGACTATCTGAATGGTTCATAGTAAGAACTTATAGGAACTATAACAGAAGAAGGGCTGTTGATTTGCTTCTGTCGTGGAATCCAGTTGGGCAATTGGACTTTGTCTTTTGGGTCATTATGAGTCCAGATCACTGGGACCATTGTAAGCTTGGCTCATTAGGGCCCTTGTGAGTTACAATCCCTTGACAACAACAAAATGATGTCATTCAGTATCACTTCACAACAACAAAACAATGTTAGTTAGTATTATGACATTGTAAGATATGATTCCTTCATACAATATTCTTGAAATATTATCAATGATTCTATTCTTTCAGACACCCGACTCAGTGTGTAGCAAGAAGTGTCACCTAGGATTTATGAAAATTTCTCAGAAAGGAAAGCCTAACTGCTGCTTTGATTGTGTTGTGTGTCTAGAAAGAGGAATATCTAATCAAACAAGTATGAACTGACAAAATTAAACCATCAGTTTCTCTAAATTTGTATCAGATTTTAGGAGTCCAAGGGTTGTACAGTGAAGCCTTCAGCTGGGTTTTCAGCCCACTCAGAGGAACCTCAGAAAAAAGGGTCTCTTGATCTGCTTCCATGAGATCAAAGACAAAGAAATCCCCATGAAGCACAGTTCAGCTTTGCATTCAAGTGGGTATCATTAGTGGAGTTGACTCAACCTCAGTGAACAATTTTGACAAGTCATGAAATTATTCATGGAAAGGTGATCCTTGGGTTTTTTTAAAAAATCAAATATTTATCAGTTATATACAGGGAACAGAGGATTAAAAAATACTCATATACCACACAATCTGAGATTTAAAAAATGTCTCTTTCCTCTGTCACATTTTTCTCTGTAGATAGTGATCAATGTATGGAGTGCCCCCAAAGTAAGTATCCCAACATTGAGAGTAACCAATGCCTGCCAAAAATTGTGACCTTTCTGGCTTATCAAGATCTCTTGGGAATGGCTCTGGCCTGCACAGCTCTGTGCATCTCTGTCATTACCACCATGGTCTTGTGGGTCTTTGTGAAATACTGAGACTCTCCCATAGTCAAGGCCAACAACCGGGTCCTTAGCTATGTCCTGAGCCTCTCCCTCCTCCTCTGCTTCCTCTGCTCCTTACTCTTCATTGGTCGTCCAAACACAGCCACATGCATCCTCCGGCCAATCACCTTTGGAGTTGTGTTCCCTGTGGCTGTTTCCACTCTTTTGGCCAAAACCATCACTGTGACCCCAACCTTCAAATCTTTGAAACCTGGAAGAATCATGAGGTGGTTGCTGGTATCTGGAGCTGCAAACTGGGTGGTTCTCACCTGTTCCCTGATCCAAATAATTATCTGTGGAGTCTGGCTGGGAACCTCTACCCCTTTCATTGACATAGACACACACTCTACGCCCAGGAGCATCATCATTGAGTGCAACAAGGGCTCAGTCACTGCATTTAATTGTGTCCTGGGATACATGGGATTCATGGCCCTGGGAACATTTTCCTTGGCTTACCTGGCCAGGAACCTGCCTGACACCTTCAATGAGTCCAAGTTCCTGACCTTCAGTATGCTGGTGTTCTGCAGTGTCTGGGTGACCTTCCTCCCTGTCTACCACAGCACCCAGGGGAAGGTCATGGTGGCTGTGGAGATCTTCTCCATCTTATCCTCCAGTGTGGGGCTTCAGGTTGCATCTTTGTCCCCAAATGCTATGTTATCTTCCTACATCCAGATAGAAACACATCAAAAGGGTCAAGGAATAAAACATACCAGAAAGGAAAATGATCAAAATCTCTTTCGCTTGTTTTTGTCATAGATTTCCTAAAAATACATTCACATAAGCCTCAGAAATAAACTAACACATTCTTGCAGCCTGATTTAAGCAACTGTTGCATTTCCTAACATCTCCGCAATTGTTCATCCCTCTTATTAGGTGGTTTGGATTCAGTTCCCACGCAGCCACCAAAACCCTGTCCGGGCCTGTCCCATACACACCTTTGGTGAAGTGCTTGAGTCCATTGTTCTAGCCACTGGATTACACCAACTCATTGAGAGTCTCTTCTTCCCCGACTTTCTGCTTTACCAAGCATGATGGCCTTCTCCAGAGGAGAGTCCCTCTTGAGAGCAAGTCCTCATTTCTGAAGAGCCTTCTCCATGAGCATCTTCTGATGTAGATTTACCAGTTCTTCTGGCTGGACATGATTTCTTCACTATTCTTCTATGACATCACAATTCAAGTGAACTACTTCTTTTGTAAAATGTTATTATTGCGAAGTATGAGTGGGTTACGTATCATGTCATCATTTTTGCATTGAACAACGTAAACAACTTTTCAATCCTCTCAATGGCTGTGTTAGTCTGGGTACTTTAGAGAAACAAATCCAAATGAGGAGCTGATGCCAGGGGCTTAAATGGAGAGCAAATGTTTTGAGAATGATGAGGGCAATGAATATACAAATGTGTTTTACACAATTGATGTATGTGTGGATTGTGATAAGACTTGTATGAGTCCCTAATAAAATAATTTCAAAAAAGAGAGAGAGATTTTATATAAAGGGTAAGTGCATATCAAGAAAACATCCCAGCCCAGTGCTGCGCAAGCCCACAAGTCCAACATTAACCCATATGTCCGACACCAATCCACAAAGTCCTCCTCTATCTCACAAAACACACACTGTGACACCAACTAAGGAGGAAAACCAAATCAGTGAATGTGTAAGCATCTCAGCACTGGCAGGGGTCTCCACACAGCTGCTCCAGCACCCAGGAATGCATCGGGGTAGATCCATGCGGCTTTTCCTTGGGGATGTCTTGCAGGAAGTGAGCCTTTCCAGCTGAAGCAGGGAAATGGCTAAGGCAGATGCACCCTGGTTCTACCATCAGAAAGCAAGAGACCCAAGAAATAGAAATGTGAGGCTCATGGAGCCATTTATCTCTCCAACCTTCAATTAACTCCACATGTGTTTATTGGCCAGGTTGGCCAAATAAACTTTAACTATCTCAATGGCTTTCCCTGTTATCCTCCCTAATTTTTCCTATCTCCTTATTGTAGCATGTTATTTTCTCCCTCACTCAAGTTAACAGCTGCATACCCTTTAGCCTACTGGCTCACCTTCCCTTCCTTCTCCTCTGATACCTGGTCACTATTGAAATCTGTTTTTTGGGGTAGGAAAACCTTGTCTTGTTTTTATAGGTGTGTGTGTATATAAACAATAATCCCACAAAAATAGTGGCACTTTTGTAATGGACTCACTTCATGCCACAAAATACCCTCCAAATCTACCCATGCCATGAAGTGTTTAATCATTTTTCTTTAATGGTTAACAGTATTCCATTGTGCGTACCTAACAAAGTTTATATATCCATCTTTCCACTGAGGGGAACTTAGCTGGTTTTAATAAGATTGCTATTGTGAATAGTGTTCTCATGGACATGTTGTTGTTGTTAGGTGCCATCAAGTCACTGTTGATCCATAGCAATCCTATGAACAACAGAACACAGCACTGCGTCAGTCCAGCATCATCCCCACAATTGTTCCTATGCTTGAGCCCATGGTTGCAGCCATGGTGCTAATCCGTCTCCTTGAGGGTCTTCTTCTTTTTAGCTGTCCTTCCTTACCAGGCAAGATGTCTTTCTCCAGGGACTGATCTCTCTAGATAACAAGTCCAAAGTACAGGAGACTGTCTTTGGACATGTTATCCTTGCCTCTGATAAGCATTAGGGCTGTGCTTCTGATAAGCGTTAGGGCTTGCAAGACAGATTTGTTTATTATTTTAGCAATCAAAGGTATTTTCAATATTCTTCTCCAATATCATAATTCAAACATATTCATTCTTCTTCAGTCTTCCTTATTCAATGTCCAATGTTCAAATGCATATCAGGTCATTGAAAAATTGGGTCAGAGGCCCCTTAGCCTTCAAATTAGCCTCCCTGCTTTCAACACTTTAAAGAGCTCTTGTGCACCTGATTTACTGAATGCAACACATTGCTTGACCTCTTGACTGCTGCTTCCATGAGAATTGAATGTGGATACAAGCAAGATGAGAAACTTGACAACTTCAATAGTTTCTCCATTTATGGGGATTTTTCTGCAGTTGTGTGGATTTTTGTTTTCTTTACACTGAGTTATAATCCTAGGATATGGAACAAGGGATATCATTGCTGGTGTCAGAGGGATCTTTGCTGAAGGATGTTTACATGTGTTTTATTAACTGTACAAAACCATTCAAAGTCATTTGACTGTGTGAATCATAACAAACTATGGAAAGTCTTGAGAAGAATGGGAATTCCAGAGCACTTGACTGTGCTCTGCTGGAATTTGGACACTGAAATACCAGTTGGACCAACAGAACAAAGGAACACTGCATGGTTTAAAATCAGGAAAGGTGAGCATCAGGGTTGTATCCTTATTCAATCTGTATGCTAAGCAAATAAACAGAGAAGCTGGATTCTGTGAATGAGAATGTGGCATCAGGATTGGAGGAAGGCTTATTAACAATGTGCAGTATGCAGATGACACAACCTTGCTTGCTGAAAACGAGAAGGGCCTAAAGCATTTAACCTTCAATATAGATTAAAACTAAATGTAAAGACGACCATAATTCTCACAACTAGGCAAATAGGTACTCATGCTAAGTGGAGAGAATGCTGAAGTTCTCAAAGGATTTCATCTTTGCATCTTAGACAATCAATGCTCATGAAAGTAGCAGTCAGAGATGAGAGAAATGGTTGTACTGGGTAAATCTGCAGCACAAGACCTCTTAAGAGTATTGAAATGCAAGGAATCAACTTTGAGGACTAAGGGGAGCCCGAACCAGACATGATATTTTCCATCACCTCATATACTTGTAAATATTGGACATTGATAAGAAAGACTAACAAAAATTGATGCATTTGAGTTGTGGTCCTGGAGCATAATATTGAAAGTACCATAGACTGCTAAAGAAATACACAATCTCTCTTGGAAGAAGTATGGCCAGAGTGCTCTATAGAGGAAAAGGTGATGAGATTTTTCTTACATATTTTGGACTTGTTTTCAGGGGGGATCAGTCCTTGGAGAAGAACATTAAGAATATTTACTGAGGGTGGTTGAAAGTTTACTGTTTAAGATGCACAACAAATAAGACAAAACCCTAAACCTTTTGTTGTCAAGTTGATTCTGACTCAGGGCTGTCCCATGTGACAGAGCAGACCTGGAACCAATAGTTTTTGTTGACTTGAATTTTTATAGAAGCAGATTTCCCACAGCTTGTGGTGCTTCCAGGTGGGTTCAGACAGCCAAACGTTCAGTTAGTAGCTGAGCACTCCCCCAACCCCCAAGGGACTTCTGTGCACAGAAACCGGGCAGGATATACTCTGGTGACCTAGAATTTTAATGACATAGACACACGATTGAAACTGACTTTACTCATGCCCCCCCCCCAAGCATGGGAAATGTATCCTATTTGACTTACATCAACAGGACAGATCCTCATATTATTTTGAGCTCCTTGTGTGCATCCATTATGCAAAAAATTTCAAAAATAAGTTTTGAGGCATTGAAAGCAATGTCGAGGAGCTCTGGTGTGCAAAAGTTAAACATTTGGAACCTCTAGAAGCTGTAAGAGAAAAGGGGCTGTCAATTTTCTTCTGTAAAGATTTGCTTCTGTCTTTGAATCCAAATGGGCAACTGGAATTTGCCTTATATGGCTATTATGAGTCAGGATTCCTTGACAACCACAATATGATACTCAATACCATATAATAACAACAAAATTATGTTTGTCAATATTATTACATTATAAGATACCATTCCTTCATACAGTATTGAACTATTATCAATGATTCCTTTCTTTCAGACTCCCCATTCTCTGTGTAGCAAGAGCTGTGGCCCAGGATTCATGAAAATTCCTCAGGAAGGAATGCCTGTCTGCTGCTTTTATTGTACTTTCTGTCCAGAGAGAGCAATAGCTAATCAAACAGGTATGAACTGACAAAACTCCACAATCAATTTC